AATCTGCTGCGTTTACCTGTTTACCACAATCACTCCCACCATGTGGCTGCTATTGGTAACCCTGCTTTTCTGCCTTGTTCCTAGCTGTCTCTGTGTCTCAGTTTTGCTGGTCTGGGTGGGGTGAAACCCAAGCCAGATCTTTCTTTGGTGCCCCAAAAGGCTGGGGGAGTTGGTCTCTCACTCCGTTCTTTCTTTTCTGGGAAGGGTAACTCTTTCTAACTGGGAGGTTTCCTTTAGGTACTGAGCAATGCTGGCATGGGGAATGGGATGATGCCAGCAAAATGTAGCTGTTCTTTCATCTCTTCTTACGCAGTTATTCTCAGGGTTTTTGTTCCACTGTGTTGCTGAAGTTTCTGACGTGGCTCCAGAGCTCTACCCGAGCTGTTTTTGTTCGTGCAGAGCTGGCTAATTGTTGATCTTTGTTGGGGAGACGGGGGCTGGGGACTCCCATGTCATCATTTTGTTGACATCACTCTGTTATCTATATTTTTGATATGTCATATATTCATTTTTCAGTTCAAAATATTTTCTATTTCTTATCATGATTTCATTGTGACCCATGGTTCCTTAGAATTGTTTGTGCTTAATTTTTAATCAGATGGACAACTTTTTCTATTTAATTTAATTTATTTCTAGCTTATTTTTGCTACGGACAGTTCGATTAAAATATGACAACTGTTGAGACATTTTTTAAATGTCCCATGTGCTCTTGAAAAGAATGTGTATTCCACAGTAATTCTGGATTCTTTTCAGTATAAGTTGATTAGTCACTTTTTCACTTAGGTTGTTCAAATCTCCTATATCCTTACTGATTTCTTTTTCTAATTATTCTATCAGTTACTGAGAGAAGTACATTAAAATTGTCTACTGGTCAACCTTGCTTCCAGTAAAGCCAAAATGAGATCCCCTCAGGGACTCCCAGCCCACTTTTGAATGCCAACCATCTCCCACTAGCTTCCAGAGTGGGTTACCTCCAGGCTTTGAAGCAAGACAGCCAAGTGCAACAACTCTTGGCACTGTTCAGTGCACCTGGGGATGAAAGAGTGTCCTATCTACCAGGTGGCTCTAGAGCTTTCTCTCATCTCTTCTTTTTTCTAATTGCTCAGCAGGAAACAGTTCAATGGTTTTGTCCTAAGGCAATCAACCCCTGCTAGTCTAGAAGCACACTAAGGACCTTCACCTAGCTCAGTTAAGGCTCTTTCTCCTACCCCTCCCCCGCCCCCCAGCCCTAGTCTCCGTTAACCCCCCTACTTTAAGCACATCTCTGGCCCCTGGCATAGATGTATCTCAGGGAACTCAAGTACACAGACATTTGAGAATGAGATATGTATATTCATTCGCCATCCACTTGCTGAGTGAAATTGGGCACCTGTCTGTGCCTGTTGGCTCTCTGCTGATAATTTTAGGAAACAGTACTTGTGCTCTGAGCGTTTTATGGGTATAACAACAGAGACCAAAAAGGGAAAGTTGGCTAATTAGAGCATGCTAGCGTCATAGAGTTCAATACCAAATTTATGATCCCACCTTGCCCACGACTTGATATGTTCTTGTTGGGGTCAAAGGGAACATAGAGTATCAGCCTTTTATTGCCTTCAAATTCCATTTTTCTCCCTCTAGTTCTATATTTAATTTTGTCACAGAGGAAAAATGACTTTCACTCTTAGGTATCTCAACTCCTCTCCATCCCTCAAGGTAGGACCAAGCACCTCTTCTTCCAGGAAGCCTGACACCACAACCCATAACAACCCCTCTGTCTTCTGTCCTTTAAGGCACTGACTGTATGTCCCATGGGTCCCTTCTTGTCATGCCCCATCCTGGTTTCCACTTGTTTGGATCATAAGAACTAACCCTTCCTTGGGCTATGTGCCAACAAATAGTTTTAGTGACATCTCCACTCACATGGAGTGGTCCTTGCCACAGCCTGGACATGTGGTAGGCTCCCTATGACCTACTGAAGCTTGCTTATTCTTTCTAGAAGTATTTACATTTGAAAATATCCCTGTAAACCCCAAATGATTGAATAAATAATGGTAACAAATTAGGCATTATCTGGGAAGAGAATTTGGGGAGGCCAATGGAAGTTTCTCTAAAGGTGATGTCACTTTTAGGAAAGATTGTGTCTCCATGGATTTTTTTTTTTTAAGATTTTTATTGGGGAATTGGGGGAAGGGGAACAGATAAGTTGCTATCTTTTTGTTCTTCAATCTAGTTGTGGAGGACATTGCTTCACTGGCCCAAGTTGGCACCATCATTGCGCTCTTCCTGGGCAAGGCAG